AGATAAGGTCGCTGAGGCACGTGAGCGGATGCGTAAACAAAATAAAATAAAATCGTCTGAGAAGCCAGTTGATACATTATATATTTATATACACATGCATACATACGTACATATATATTGCGTATGAATGTGTTGTAAAAACAAAAACTTATGTATTCATAAACATTCCCATTCTGCTGTGAGCGGCCGGGCAGTGGCATTTTTATGGCTTATCGAAAAACAAAATAAATAAAAATTAAAGAAAATAATAAGAAATGCGAGGTATGACATGTATTAACCCGTTCTCCCCAGTACTGCTTGCATTGAGACGAATATTCGAACATTTCTATAATCGCGTAGTTTATATAACTAATTGAAAATTTAAAAGGTCTTATTATACAAGTATGCAAGCGGAATTGGATTATTCAGATTATTTGATTATTATCGTAACTATTATTAAGTAATTCGAAGTACATCTTCACTCGATTTGATAGTTTGTTTTTAATTCTCTGCGACATCCCCTAATGGAGGGTGGAGTTTGAAGGTTTCTTTATACAAAAGCAGGTCTACATCAATTAAGGACATAGGCTGCACTTATTATTAAAATTAAGAGTTGGCATCCTTTGAAGAATAAGCTGTTTTGTTGTCGATAAGTAATTCAAAAGTGCTTCACTTCTTTTGATCTGTTCTAAATGTTTCTCTTAAATAAACTCTATCAAAAACAAATTTAAAAGCACATTAAACTACTCTTATTATTTGAAAAATATATAGAGGCCCATAGTTCGTATTAATTCTAAAGGTAGCGCCTCTTAGATATGCCGTTTTACGAAAATGGTTACACCTCTATTTAATTCGAGATCAGCAGACAATAAGACTAATATAACTATTAGAAAGTATTATCAGAAAATGTTACCTTATTGCAATTGCCTGAACTATTCGGCACTGTTAGCAAACAGCCCGATTTGCATATCTTCATATCGAACAAAAAACTGAATCATTATCCCAGCTCAGTTTACTTACGCAAATGTACACTTAAGCGTACTTAGGTGGGAATGGGTTAAAAAGAATCAGCAGGGGCCGCAGAACCTTGGGGTCTGCTGTTCTGCTGTCTTTTATTACGCGCGTCACAATATTGTTGTTTTTGTAAATAACAATGCAAATTGAAACCGGTTTTCGTAAAAAGTAATTTGCAAAAACAAAAGCAGCAATAAATATTTTACAGAAAACCATGAAATGAAAAACGTCGAATGTAAATATGTACATTCAAGAGCTTGGGATGCCGCTGATAAGGAATCAATAGTTAGAAATGTGCATACGACTATTTGGGAATTTTGGCCGAAAGGCGATTAATCGCCTAACACCACTGACTGGAAGGCAAGAATGTGTTTCGAGTCAAAAATTGAGCTTTCTTTCTGGACCAATGGATTTCGCACAATTCTAATATCTTGCTAACTTTAGAAACTATGCAAAACATGAAGTGACAAACATAAATAGCAAAGGGGACATATTTGCAGACCTTATTCAGAAATCATTTAACAGAAATACATATTTCCAAATTCCTACGTTCGATTTTCAGCACAGTACTTAGAATGGATATGGCTTGAACGTGATGAGAAGAGCAGACGCAAGCTTCGACAGAAGATTCAGATTTTGGCTAAAACCCACACCACTGACGACTAGATGGATTATCTAAAGTGCTGTGAATATCCACGATTTATATTTTTAATTGTTTTCCTTGTATCGACACATCTATTGCGAGCAGGCCTAACTCGTTAATACCCTCCAACTTTATAGAGCATAGGCAAAGATGGCTATTATTACTTTCCAATTGACCAATTTGAGTAGAAAAACTCAACGAATTACGGAAGTTGTGAAGAAATCACGAATACCAGGGAAGCGGGAACACAACCTTGTCCTTTCTCGAACCTTGGAGAATCTGAATACCATGCTGGGTTATTCTAGCTGTTATACCTTTCGAGATTCTTGCGCTCACACAGACAGACGGCATGACAATACCTTCTCGCTTAACAAGAATTTATATACTTTGAGGGTCGGCTACGCTTCCTTCTCTGGATTACAAACATTAGTGCTAAACTAGAATACCTTTTACGCGTTGGTTACAGGGTATAAATAATTGTACCCCATTCAAATATTCAAATAGTAAAATATACAGCCGCGCAATTTACATTTTTCGTAATTGTTTGCCAACAATCAGCAAAAACTAAGGGATTTATATCAAAAGCTACAAATTATTCATCATTATTAATACTCGTACATAAATACAGAGACGACGCAGATAGTCATTAATTACCCGAAATGGCTGTCAGTTTCGAGACTTTGAAGATATTGCGTATTTGAATATATACAAACATCCAGAGATATAGTCTAAGTATACACCTAGTCCTCGCTTAACGCAAACTCTTTTAATGCTAACTCGGTCTAACGCGATTGCAAAATTGCTACCTTTTCTCTTTTAACGCGGTGAAATACCTTGTTCTAACGCGATGGACAAAATCGATTTTTTTATTTTGTCGATTATTGCATGATTATCTTTGGGTATAGTATGTATCACCACACATGAGATGTGTGTAGAAAAAGGGAAGTCCCACTTTCTACACCATCAGAGTAAGAATGAGTGCATACTCCTATGTCCATACATATGTAAATATTTGCTAAGGTGAGCAAAACTTTATTGCTTCAGACGCGCACATAGTAAGATTAAATTCTTGTGATAAGTGAAATGGTTTAACCGTTGAATGAAATAAAATGGTACAAAGTAAATTAGTAAATTATACAAATGGCATTTTCTACATGGCAGCAAAAGAATAGGAGAGCTGCTATAAAGCTTTAAGAGCCACTAAACAGTCGAAAATTACTGATTTTTTGCCACGCAAAATATAAAAAAAAATGTTGATTACGAAAACTGCTCTGATTATAAATGCCACCAAATGAATTTCCATTTTATTTTAATACATATGTGTTCTCTTTTTACTTTTTAAAACTTTTGCCATTTGAATAAACCTTTTTATGTTTTGAAACTAATAAATTTAAACATTATAATATTTGTGTATGCATTTTTCGAAGTCTAGGAACGTAACCCCTCATTTTGTATGAAAATACATGGCTCGTTTAACGCGATTTCGTTTAACACGACGTTTTCAAGGAACGTTTAATTGGTAAAATTCTAGACTAGGCACGTGATTTGTATGTTTAGAGTCAAATGAGTATATTAGTTTTATGTTCAAGATGTAACGACAGGTTTTACACTGATCTGAAATATATCTCTCTAATAAAAAAGAAGGCTATATAGAGAGAATATAATGAAGCATTTATGACCCCTTTATAGGAGAAATATGTCTTCTGATCGCTTGTAAGACAACTTATTTAAAGACCGACCTGGCCGGAGTACAGGGTATTTCAGCGTCGATGGCGTTCTACCTAATATTATAATTATTATTAAGTGTGGTTTGTGATTTGTGGCACAAAGTCATATTAAATCGTTCATCAAATGCTTTATCTCTCTTCCCATCTATCACACACACACACACACACACACACACACACTTTGTGAATGGCAATTGTTGTTTTTCAATTGTTAAAAAATAATAAGAAAACAAAAATTGGCGAAAACCGGTCGAACAAGCTAAGTACATATTATACGTATTCAAATTGATGGCTTTCGTCTGTAAGTCCGTTGCGCTATTTTGGGAAACCCCAAAACAGTTGTAAACGCCAAAGATCATGTCGACAGATAAATTGCGGCCAAACAGATTGTGGTGGGCTAAGGCATGGGGTATGGGGAATGGGGAATGGGGCATGGAGAGAGGGCGTAAATACAGTATACAATTGTCTTAATGCATTAAGAAATCGGGGATGACATAAAATGTACGGAGTCGGTAGAAAGTACTGCTGTATGTACAAACTATAATCCAAACAGCTAGGCTTGACTAAAAATTGTAAAGCTTAGACGCAATTACGAAACGAAATCCCACCCTCACTTATTTGTCGACACTCATCCACTCTTGTATCTATGTGTAATTTGTCTGCGTTAGTCAGCGATAAAAATAATTATCATTGACAAAATACGTAATTAGAAATGCGCCCTAAATGCTGGGCCCCGTAAGTGCCGCGTCGTTAACAAAGAAAGTGCTCCCAGGCTTGGTAACTCAATAACAATTACAGTGCAATGTCTCTAAGGGGAATATCAGGGGGCGGCGAAGACCTATTTATTGACAAGTATCAAGAGAGTTGATCTTCTGTTATTTACAGAACTAACCCAACTTAAAGATCAACTCTCTTAAGAAATCGAAATTGAAATTGAAAAAGAAGAAATCGAAAAATAAATATAATACTTCTCAACAATACAACAAAATTATACTAAGAAGCTTGAGTATTTAGGTATTTAGAGCTTCGTATCACTTGATCTCCAATTTTACTATTAGATAGACCATTAGAAAATATCCCCTAAGCCTAGCTTTATTTAGAAATTATTAGAAAATGAAATACTTAAATTCTACCTACATCTGTGTTTATAATACACATACATACTATGTTCTATATGTGCAATAAACAATAAGATTGCAGTATGCCTTAGAAAATTGAATAAAAACGCTTTTTAAACTGAATTTAAAAACAGCAAGTTTTAGAGCAATAACATATTTCATACTTAAGTAAATGAAGTAAATATTTGTTTTAAATAATTTCATTATGTTTTTGCAAATTGGTTTTCAATACAAGCACCAACATTCCATACTAGCGAACAATTAAGTTTGTATGTAGGAAGGTATTACTGTAGCCGGCAATGCTTTAACCCTATTTATGCATAAGTATTTCCAACTAAGCACAACATTGTTTTTGTAGGCATAGTTTTTGTTCCGATAATATTGTTGCGATAAACAGTAAGCTTAAACTAAGTACAAAAAAAAAAAGCGCAGAAAGATAAACATGCTCTCTCTCACACATTCTTTCTCCCTTCATACGCTCAGTGGGTAAATGAGTAATTCAGCGATAAGTACACTCACCTGAGGCCAGAATATTGTAAAAATTGTAAGAAGAATCATAATTTGTTTCTGTTGTTGCTTTTGTTGCTGACGCCGTCGTCGTCTGCATTGTTGCTCTGTCCCTCGATGGCGTTGTTGTTGTGATAGTAACTGCGATACTTGTAACATGGCGCTGAACATTTAGACGTACAGTATATTCCAAAATGATCGGTCGAGTTGCTTTTATTGTGTATTTTAGGATTGGTTGCGTTTTTAGTTTTGTTTTAACATTGTGTTATTTATATTTTTACATATTGCACTTATTTTTTGATAAATTCCAACGGCTAAAGAGAAATATTAAAAGATATTGTATTGTTTTCAATATTATTTATTTTATACATCTACACACAATGCTATAAATTTGTAAAAATAAGAGATTTACTTATCTAAAAACACCCTTTTTTAAGACCCACTCTGAATAAAGATAAACATTTTAACCATGTTTTGAGAACACATAATAAAATGTTATTTTTGGGAATTTTCAAATACAAATCACAATTTATGTAAAGGATAATTCAAAAACCTCGGTCCACAAATTTTGAAACAGTGCATATTACCAATCAACATCAAACATGAGTTTTAGGGTTTGTATTGAGACTTTATTGGGGATTATAACACCATTTTTTGGATACAAGTATAACAAAAATTACCACAATTAACATAAACTGTGAATACGGCAATTTTAAAGCTGCGCTATGCTTTTCGTTTGGCATTAATGTTTTTTATTATTACTAATTTTCCCTTAAAGGAATTTCCATGATGTGTATCTATATTTTGGACACTAGTTTAGATGAATATACATATGTATGTGTGTTTGTACTCGTATCATTAATTGAGAGTTTTATCACTGCGGTGTGCAGTCTTCTTCAGCATCGCAATCACAGCCTGCAGATATAAACAAATTTATAACGGCACTATGTCTAACGCTCTCATCACTCAACAGCATGCTCACAGTATACGTAAACAACAGAGATTGAGTGAGTTACACACATACATACATAAATGCAATTGCACAGGCAGATCAACAACGACTACCACGAATACCAACATGCTCAACAGAGCAGCGTAGCAGGTAGAAAGCAAAATGACAACAAGCCGCATTGCTTATGTTGTTGTTGCTGTTACGCAGCCACGCCATGCATTAGAACTGTGCAGGAGCCGGCGCGTGATCGTGATTTCGTCTCTCACGACTAAACATTTACTGCCTTAAAGTGAAGGGAATTTTCAAGATGCCACTATTTAAGAAGTCTGACAAAATTAAACAAATCAAAGATTATAATCGATGACAACAAAAACTCTTATGTTGTTTAAGTTCATTTGAACATTATTTTCATATAGCTTTAATTATTTAATTTAATTTAATTATGTGAGACTGGTGTGTTCGAAAAATAACCAAGAAATAAGTGAGATAGTTTCGAGGATGTAACCAAAATAAAAGTTCATGAAATGCATCGTGATTTGTAATACACACATCTCTAGTATGCACCACCACCACCAACAACAAAAACAACGATGCAGGCAATACAAAAAAAGAGCGGGCCACGCACAAGTGCGTTTACATTATACATGTGTGTGTGAGCAAGTTAACGAAAAGATACACACAGGCACATATGAATGCATGTGCGGTGTATGTGTGTGTGTGCTTCTGTAACGGAGTTTTACAACAGCCGTGCCGCTGTCGTCGTTGAGTTGTTTTTGGTGCGGCTGTTGCTTCTTCTTTTTGTCATATGTACATTCATACATACATACATACATACATAAATAACTATGCATAGCATTCAGAAATCTCGTCCAACGCCTGTTACTGTTGTCGTTTTAATTGTTTTGGTAACTGTTTTCCAATGTACATACGTATGCCCATAGCTATGTACATATCTATAAGCATATGGATGTATGTATGTATGTGCATGCAAATAAATACAAGAAAACGCATATGAATAAAATATGTGTGTATGCAGCCGATCAACAACAACACAAATCATATTATTAATGCTTTGTAATTGTAAGCATTTATTTAGACAGGCGCCCTTTTCTTTGGCAGCAGAAGCAACAGCAGCACCACCAACAACAAAACTCACACCCACACGTTCTACGAAAATCGCAGGCACTTACAACGGCGGCGGCGCAACAGCGACGTCATCTGCCATCGCATTACCACTAATACACACGTAAATCACAGGTATGGATGTATATACATATGTATGTATTATGAACATACATACATATATTCACTTGACGTTTTTGTAATTGTTGTTGTACTCATTGCCGCTCGCCTTCCGCTGCGTTCGCTGTTGATGTTGTTGCTGTTTTTGCTACTGCGCGCATTCATTAAATAAACTAGTCACGTCTCAGCAGATGCTTTTGAGTATAAAATTGGTTTTAGCAAATTTTTTTTTTGGTTTTTGGTGAAATTCATTTTGCGCTCAATGTGCAAATTTTCATAAAACGCACCGCAAAAATGTATATCTCTCGATATTTAGCCAGATACAGATACACCACACACAAAGTACACAACAAATGCGTGCACATAAAAAACAAGAAAAAAATTTAACAAAATAGCGCGAATTTATTCAACCGTCACAACGTCCGCGGCGTTGTAAGCACAACAACAAAAACTTATTTAAATTAATTCGAAAGTAGCGTGCGACGCGCCTAACCCGATCACAACCATCCGCTTCAACACGCAAACAAAAACCATCCTATATGACGGACCGACCAGATAGATGACGATTATCAATTGAATGGTCGTTTCCAGCTGTGGTGACTAAAGTCAGCTGTTGTGGTGGATATTTATGAGTGCCACATTGCTGGCGGGTGGCGGTCTTTGCTACAAGCCATGCATTATGGAAGATAACGCAAACACCATTTGCACAAACCTCCAGCAAACCTACCATTCCGCATGGAAATGTTGATCATATCTTCGGGACAGTGTGACCATCAGCTAAGATCATAAAAACCCCTTGAATGCGACATGAAAGCATAATTAAACTAGTATTGTTTTATAATATTTTTTGTAAGTATGTACATATGTACACAGATATAGGATATGTATGCAATCGTAAATTAACAAATTCAGCAAATTCATAATCGCTTTTAGAATATGTTTCTTTTCAATCGAATCCATTCACTATCACTGCTCGAATTCCTAACTGAGAAAAATCTATTAGTCCCAGAGTTGTGCCATAATAATCGTGAATTTCGTGAAAAGAATTTACGATATAACAGAAATTCACAGAAACCTGAGCATGTCCAACAAACCTAAGTCGTAAGAAATCGATGAAACCACTTTAATAAACAAAATATACAAATCCAAATTCAGCCTAAGGTTACCTGCTTAGAAAAATAAACCTGAGTAGTAAATATGTTGTGTATTGCATTCATAAAACCATTTCGCTGTGGGCTCCAATTAAATACCCAAACAGACACTAGCCTCACCAATTCGGAATTCATTTCAGCACTAGTCGTTAGAAAAGTATTTTTAACCAATGAATGTTTGCGCTGCCACCTTTTGCATTTGTGTAGTCCGGTAGCGCCCTGTAAGCCAATGCACAGCTGCTCTGCAACTGTTAGCTGTGCACAGTGCTTCTTAAGCTGTAGGGCGGATAAGAAATTCAGCAAGAGATGATCAGATGTCGTGAGCATATTGGACTATTGCGATACATATAACTCGCTCTATAAACTTGATTACATAACCTCTTCAGGTTATAAGATACAATTATGGTTAAATTACATTTCCACTCAAACAACTCTCAGACGCATTTCTATTCAGATTTATATGTTTTCGTATTATACAGAATTGAATTTTCTTCTTTTCGTTGGATTACTAAAAGAAATTGTTAATTAGAAATGTCAAAGTGCAAACAAAAGGAATTGTTATTATTTATTAAAATACACATGCATTTATTATTTCGCTTCTCACGAGTAGGATTTAGCAATTATTTCACTTTCTTCAGAGTCTGTTTGTTTATGTTTTAAGCAGTATTGTCAAAGCTGATTTTCCAATGGAAAGCTACCGAATAAAGCGTCCTTTTGTTCTCATAAAATTACAGAGAAGTGTAAAAATTAGAGAGAGGTACTGGTTTATTTTTAAAAACGTAGTTATTTTTGGTTCCCCCGGTGGGGGAAACCCAACTTAAATTAATTCTTGGACACAAGTCGTGACAGGCTTGAATTAATCGAAAAACAAATTGACAACACTGGCACAAAAACAACCACCCAATGCAGCACAGCCGCAACGGCGACAGAGAGAGACACTCATTCTCCCATACAAACACACATTGAGCGTACACAGACACACACTTGCCCACAGGCCAGAGCAGATGCAGCCGCACAGCCGCCAACGCGCCTTCACTTGCTCAGTTGAGTTTTGGCCGTGAACGTGCTCGGGTGTGCCGTTCGTTGTCGTTTTTGTTAACATTGTTGACGTGTGTGTGCGCCTGTGCGTCTGTGTGTTTGTCGCGCGTCTCGTTTGGGCTTTTTCGGCGGTATTTAGCAAAAATATATTCATATGTATATCGAACGCAAATTGAAATATATCTATGTATGCATATATGTGTGGATATAAATTGTATTTTTTTTTTTTAACATGTCGCGTGTGCCGCTTAAATGCTAAATAAAATTGCGAAAATCGAAAATCGTGTGTGTCAGTATTTTTGTTTTTTTTTAAGGCTGTGTTCAAAAAGTAAGCAATAATTACAATAACAACAAAATGCTCATCAAAGCGCAGCGGCAAAGTAAAAGCTGAAATTGAGAGTTGTTTATACTTATGTATGTATGTATGTTTGTTGCTATGTCCATGCACAAAACTGACGTTCGACGTCGGCGCAATTAAAGTGTGCGACGTTTCACATGCCATAGCAACAACAACAATAGCGGCGATGACCACAAGGGTAACATCAACACCTACACCTACGCACTCTCGCACCGGCGGCAGCAACACAAACAGTACGGGAAAAAGAAGCAGCAGCAGTGGTCAAAAGCGCCACCGCCACTCGCCAGTCGCCACTGTCACCATCACCATCACCGTTTCTGTGACCGCGCTCTTTGTTGGTGGGCTGCCTGCCTCTTGACATGCCGTTGCTTTCTTTTGCATGCCTCCAACACACACACACACATGCAAACACACACCCACACACACATACGCACCCGCTCTCACGCATTGGCGCCGTTTTGCAATCTCTCACTCACACGTACGGATACGACGAGTGTTGAATTTTGGTATTGTTGTTGTTGTTTTGGCAAAAATTGAATGAAAATTTCTCCATTATTGTTTGTTATTGTTTGTGCTTTTCACTTAATTTTAAAATAAATTGACTCGATAATGTTATAAACATTTTCTAAATAGGCGCTGAAACTGAATTATTCCAGAAGCAACCCTAGCTGTGCTTCCAACACATTTTTGAACTAAACATTTAAGAAACTTGTCCTAAATTGTTGTTAAAAAAGCAAACAAAAACTCGTTTTATGAGCTTTTCGGTGTTGCGCTTTGGTTTTTGGTATCGTTTCGTGTTTGGCTTGGTATTTTGGTATTGGCTTTTGTATTTTCTTCTTGAATCATGTTTGTGGCGTTTTCTGCAGTTTATGGCTGCCACAGTGAAGACCACAGTGGGCCGCACCGACTATATTCAGTTTAGACTGCTTAGCCATCATTTACTGTGCAAAGATCTGCTCAGTGCGAATTGGGCCTAACATTTGGCTTAGCAACTGTTCATATGGAATATTATATATATTCATATTAATGAAATCTCATATATCAGTTGCTCTGGATTTTTTGACATAGAACATTAAATACCTTTCGATTCATTGAATTACGGCTCTATTATAATTTCCATATATGCGATGCAATTTTTTCTAAAACACCATCACGTATTCTTGAATAGTTGTATGTCTTGTTAAGCCGTTATCCGATGGATAATTATTATTATCTCTTTTCATGTTTCTTGCACGTTTCTAATAGCTCTAACATATAATGTTATATTTTTGATTGCTTACATTTTAAATAAAATCCAGTACTTGGAATGAAAACTTTTCAGTTAATTATCTGGCAACGCCGCACCGATATTTGTACTAAGTTGGCTGCGCCTGAAGGACTTTATTTAATTCGTGTCTAACTGTTAATTCCTCTTTTCCTCTTCTATTAAATTCAATAAAGTTCACTATGTCAGATGCTCTCTTCGTCTATCCTCTGCCTCTCTCTATCTCTATCTTTCCGTCTCTTTCTCAAGTTGGCTTAGCAGCTATGTAAGTTGAAGGTCTTTTGCATAGTCAAGTTGTTGGTTTTGTTGCTGTTGTTGTCTGCAAGGCAATGATTTATTTTTTTTTAATGCAACAATATCAGTGACGGCAAAAATATAAAACCCTACATGGCGGGGTTTTGCTGCTTCGGCTGCAAACTGGTTTTGTTTCGCACTTAAATATGTAAAACATGCATAGCTATGTACAATAAAAGCAATAATTGTAGGAGCTTTTGGTGATGACGTCAATGCTTAATTTTGCGGAAATACACCCAAAATGCTATTAAAATTGGCAATAAAACCAATGCAATCAATTAGTAGCATTGCACCAGGCACAAACATATGTACATACATTTGTACAGAAACGAATTTATGAATTTAAAAAGGAATGAAAGACGCCTATCCAAATATTATAGCAAGTATTCACATCTAGCCAAGCAACTAACAATTAACTAACAACAACAACAGCAACAAGAGCATGAGATCTGAAATAGAGCCGAATATAAGATACCACAAGTGTTGTAGATACCTGCATACACACACACATACAAACGTACATATACAAATATATGCATATAGTAGTATTTGTATACAAGTATGTTCAGCACATACATAAAAGCATTAATATGTATGTATGTACTTGTATGTATAAAAACGAAAGCTTGACAGTCGAACAATTCCCACCAACAACGTTGGCGCAGCAACAGAAGTTAACAACAAATTTAAAGAGCGCCACAGTCGCTCAAACAGCTGAGCGCAAGTTTTAAGTCAAGCTTGCTCGCAAGCGGCTCTCTCGCACAAATACAAATATCCGCACACACACACTTACACAGACAGACACACACGCACACATACACATACAACTCCCTATGCGCATTGTACTCATGCGCGGCGTCGCCTTCTCTCACTGTCTTTACAGCCTGCAAAATGAACCAAACCGAGTGTGAAAAAAGCTTAAGCTTGTAAATTTCAAAATTATTTGGTAAACAAAAATTTAACGAAAAAAAAGAAGAGGAAAGTTGCGAAATAATTTGTAACAATGCCATTTACAAAATAAACACAATGCTAGAAATGCCCGAAATTAGAAAAACTACAAATATGCTTTAAAGCATACAAAATATAGGTATTACGGGCCAAACATCGCTAAGAGCGGCACTCTAAACAACATCAACAATAGCAACAGCAACAAAATTGGTGCAACAGCTAACAAAGGCAGCAACAGCAGCAGTAGCAACAACAGCAACAACAACAACCACTAACTGGCATCAGTTGACGACCATTAACGAAACGGCCACAAAATGTTGTACAATCTGAGCAAAGCAACAACGCGGCTTAAAAGACAGCAGCAGCAGGAGCCACAACAACAACAATCTCACTATCACTTTAATAGACAGCATTATAAACCAGTACAACATCGCTTCATTTGGTGTTTAACATTTTTAGCAACATTTTGCGCACAGGTGAGTGAAAACATAAATGAAACATATATACATACATAATTGGATACTTAGTATTATGTATCTCTTTGCAGTAATTGTAGTTATAAGACTAATGCGTCTAAATGTCAAACAAATTGATCGATTTCGCAAATCACAGCAGTGCGGAATATATTTTGTGTATTTGAAGTCCTGAGTGCGGGCTCTTAAGTTGATTTTATGAAACACCTTTTTTACTCTGTTCCTGAAAATTGAAAGGGTATACATACTAGTAAGCCTTACCATCAAATCACTATGCTATATGATTCAGAGATATGTACAAGTATATATGATCAGCATGACGAAACAAATCAACAAAGCCAAGTCCACCCGCCTGTCTGTCTGTCAGTTCGTATGAACACCGATAACTTTTGGAACAAAACATTTTTTACTGCATAATCGACCTGCAAATTAGGCCATAACACTGCAGATTGCGATTTATTAGATATTTTAGAATTTTTTAAAACTACACGTTATTTTGAAATTAGATTATGAAAGGAATATAACATTTTTTAATGCCAAACGTTAGCTAAAGACCTCTTCCTCCTAAACTATCCTAAATTTTAGCATTAGGACCATGGCACACCCACTTTAGCTTTAATGAAGTCCATAGTAGCCGATTCAATATACTTGTAGGTATAATATTTAAACCTTGAATAACACAAATGTCTTATCATAATATTGGAAAAGTATAGAAATTAATGGTAAATTTGCATTTACTTTAAAACTGAATATATTGTACATGTGTATACACACCCGTACATACCTACATATTTGTTTGTAATTAATTACCGCAGGCGATCACACAAAGCGCGTTGTTGCATCTTCAAAACCCAGACATATCTACATACATACATACAGACATGCAGACATGCAAACATTAACAATTACAAAAAAAGAAAAAACAAACTCTCACGGCACGGCCCACTTACTCACTCCAATGATTCACAGGTCTTTGCCGAACTCGTAACTTGTAACTCAAAAACTGCAGGCATATGCAAAACTTGTGCTTGCTTCAAGGTCTTTTGAGAACTGCAGCACTCTCTGTTCACTGATTGTCTCTCTCTCTCTCTCTCTCCCTCTTTTCCTGTGTGTGTGTGTGTGTGTGTGTGTGCAATCTTTAGAATACAAGTTTGCTAATTTCGGAAAACCACAACCACAAGTAGATAACAAGCCAGCAAGATTTGAAATAATGAAATTTAATTAATTTGAGGGCCAAATGCAGAATAAACAAAACCATTTAGAACGTAATTTTGTTTTATTTCTGAAATTGCAAATCCACTAGAAAAAGCCTTTTGAAATAAAAAACAACATAAAGACTATTTTGTAGATAATAAGTATTGAAATTAAAACCACCACAGAAGAAAAAGTGTAATCCAAAACAAATGTGCCAAACTCATATGTTTTCTTATAAAAGTGATGGTTTTATATTGAAGCGAATATATATGTATATATAAGCTCAGTAATCTAAAAAATACGAATATCATTTAAAAATCGCATGAAACAATTATCTTTAAAAAAATATTTGCCTAGAACATGACATCGAGCAAACTTTCGTTAAATATTTGCTACAAAGCTAAAATGGGATTATTTTAATTTAAGATAATTGCCGCAATGCTGTGACCGAGAATGCTGCCGGAATGTGAATTGCGATTCCCATAAAGAGTATCGAAAGCGGGAAAGGTTATACTAAGTACAGTGAAAACTCTCTTGGCCGGACCCTCAATTTTTGTACGCCCAAGGGGAGTGTCCGCTTAAGGGGATACTTAAATACTTTATACATCGATCGAATGTTTTAGAAGAAGTGTCCGCCGAAGAGAATGTCCGCATAAAAGAGATATCCGTTAAGGGAGTTTTCAACATACATTCATGCATGTATAATCAAAATGAAGATGCGAATCGTCCGTCCGTCTGTATGAACACCGAGAACTCTTAAACTATAGCTGCTTGGTACACCAAACTTGGTATGTCGAAAATAACACATTTCGTATTTATAATTGTTTTAAAATGCCTGATGAAAAATTTCACAAATTTAATCTGAATCGGCTTACTATAACATATAGTATAGCTGCCATAAGAGCGAAAAACAAAAAATCTTAGTAATAACAATTTTTTTTGGTATCTATAGGTTTTGTGTATTAAATTGGTTGAAAGTTTGCTCACTATATCATATAGCTGTCATAGTAATGATTGGCGTGTATTTGAAAGCTGTATCGCGGAAAAGAGTGTGTGCAGGGTATTCAGAAGTCAAGCTTCCTACTCGTTTAAATTGAAAAACTTGCAGCTTGTACGTTATAGCTCATACTCGTAGTGTCCATTGATATTTCTATATAATTTCACATTACTCGGAATTTGCATGCTTTTATTGCTCGACTGAGTATTTATTATAATTATCATCAATATTTCAGCAAATTTGTTTTGCACTTCTCGTCGCTATTAGCACTTTAGTATTATCTTCCTGAACTTGTGAGACTTGTCTTTGCATAATATACATAATTTTTAAAAGCGTTCAGTCAAAGGTATCTCAGCGGATCACATTGAAGTACACTTGTCACATCATTAGAATCAAAAGTCACGTTTCGGTGATCCATTCCATGTTAGATAAGAAGTCATAAGCATGTTTGCGAAATTAAAAACTAAGTTGGATACTGAAGCTTTCTAGTATACGCAATTTGGCCAAATTATAGATATGCAGTCAAGTGGTGAGGCATGAAGATATCTAGCCATAAATCTATTCCAGTTAGACATAAAATTTGTGCACGTACCACATTGTTTCAATATATTTTTATTTAAAGATGGTCGTATTTTTTTCTGCTACATGCCAGTCGTGCCTTGTCGCTATTGTTTATAATTTTTACGAGCTGTAAGTACGAGTATGTGAATAGGTAGGAATGCTCGAAATGCCTGACATTCCTATTCGACGTAAACATAAATATGTGTGGAGGGGTCGATTGACAACTTCAAAATCCATTATTATGCGACTTTGTGTGTTGTGCCGAACAATTAACATGAAACATGCGTCTGGGCGTGTTCACAGGCCCGACCCAACCCGACCCGGCACGACCCGACCCAGCCAGGTATTGAATAGTGTCCCATAGTCTAGTTGGCCTTAGTTTAATTTTATTCATTCAAACTTTATTGTGCGCAAATGGTTTCGGTTTTAATTATACCCTATACCTAAAAGGGTGAAAAGATAATTAAGTTTTCCAGCTGTGTAGAAGAGAGAATATCGTTTGATGTGCTGATCGAGGTGGTGTGCATCAGGTTGGCTTACATTTTGTATCACTAATATAATAAATACTCTAAATATTTTGTGCTACGTTAATATAGTTGCTAGAGAATTCTAAAAATAATGACAGCTGGAAAGTTAATGCTGGTTTGGTTTATTTCTAAATTAAAATCTTCCACAATATCTCTTCTGTTGCATCTTCGGTACAAACCCAAAATAAAGCTCTCAAGTCTTAAGTTCCAAAAGTAACCGGAGAAAATATTGTAAGCGACCAAGCCCGAGAGTGAAATATCCTGTATCCTGAAGAAGAGAAAGAAACCCAGTTTTGCAGTTTCAAGTGTAGTACCGGAATAGGATTGTTAATCTAATAACATTTCTAAGAATTTATCAATTTTGATATTTAAAATAGAGGTAGATAATTACATAGGAATTAGGTTAAAAAAAAAGTTTATGTAGCTTTATTATGTATTGGGGACGGTACTAACTATATTTAGGGATGTAAATCGAAGGAAAACATCGATGTTGATGTACATCGATGTCTCTTTAAAAAAAAATCGATGCATGGTGGATGCATCGCAAAAAATATATCCATGCATTGATGTTTTAAAAGATTAACTTTCCATAGAGAAAAGCTAATATTAGTGAGAAATCCAACAGAGATGTTTCAAATAAAAAATGTTTATGTATCAAGAGAGACTGTCATAGTATTTTACTTAATGTTGTTAATCACTAAAGTACTCGTAATATTGATTTTTGATGAACTTGTATGTCTTACTTAAAAAAACCGATTATATACAGTTTTAAAAACAACTACGCGTTTTAGCTACGCCTTTTAAGCATATTAAGTGTGACATTATATATGAAAAAATGAAGATCAAATGCTTAACAATCTAAAATGTATACTACAAAATACACATTTTAATGAAAACATCAAATAATTTATAATACAAATATACCTTCTTCGGTAAACCAAAAAAAAAAAAAATGTGAATGCGCAAGAAAACATGAATAATGTTCGATGTTTGGACAAACATCGATTGATCGACGATGCATCGTTAGCAAAAAAGCATCGAAAATGTTCGATGCATCGATGTTTTCTTATATCCCTAACTATATTCTGAAAATAGGGCGGAGAGGGAAAACAAAAATTATATAGACTAGTGTTGCCTAGGGAATAGGAAAGTCTTCGTACCAAGTTTGGTCGATGTGGGCTCAGCCATTTTCGAAATCCTGGCGTTCATCCAGACAGACAGATAAATAAACGGACATATATGCTATGTGTATATGTAGCTCGATTTGTCTCATCATATAATCTAATATACCCTGTTTACGCTTCGGGTACAGGGTAAATAAATATGAGAGTAAATAACTATCGGAATTATAACCAAAATAGTGTGACAAGCCATATATTAAATGTTAGGCAGGGTATTCCAAAGCCTAATAATGGTGTGGTGCGGCGTGGGGGTGGGCTATGGAGAGAATATAACCCACTATTTTAGATGCTATGTGCCGTTTGTATTGTTTTCATTTTAATTAGCATTTAGTATTAATGGAGGCAACAGCAGCTAACAATTATTTAGATAGGCCGCCCGCAAATTAACAACAACACGACATCGTTTTTTTCGTACTACCCGCATACGGGTATTAACTTTCTGTATTGATAAATCTCAGACAAATATTTGCCATTTAGTCACATACAAAATGTGTTTGGTTGCAACTGTTGGTCGAAAGTCACGTCTGCCGCTCGACTCGACTT